AATATGTTCAAAGTTTGGCCCCCTACCAAAGAATTTTCCAATGTGTACAATTTAGCCACAAAATATGAAATTCACATGTTCAAAGTTTGGCCACCAACCAAGATGAAATTTCCAATAAGTTGGCCACCAACCAAGATGAAATTTCCAACTTGTCAACTTAATTTCTAGACAAATCTAACAGAATATGCAGTACTAACCCTAGGCTGAAACAACAGATGGAGAATCCTCAACCACCTTCCTTATCGTGTCGGAGACCGAGTTGTGATGCTTAACAACGCTCTTTATTGGATGATCGTGGATATGTATCAACCAGATTCTATAACTTTCGATCACTCCGAATGCAGAAAATCCATTCTCAAATTCTCCATGGACAGTGAAAAGTTTCATACGATGTCTCATCCTGGTTCTTACCGTTGCCTCAATAGAGAATGGCATAAGGGGATGGAGCTGATGGACATGGAAGGTCGTCTAACATGTTGTTGTTTGTGTGGACTCGAGGTTCAACTGTGGGTCTTCGATCATGGTGGGCAATGGACTCATTCATATAATCTCGACCTGAAGATCTTCCCTTTCGGAACAAGATACGTGGTTAAACAAGAAATACAACTCATAAACATCCAAAATATGGAAGTATTACCAGTTTGGTGAGGGAGAGGGGTGTTATACCAAGAGTATGGTGATGCTGAAGAATATTTGTCCATCTGGTTTGCAGCTTCTTTCACGTCCCACATCAGTGAAGTTGGAATCAGGGATTTAAATAGCAATCGACATGTTTGTGAATGGTTTTACGAATTTTTTCCGTTAATCATGATTCTGGGTATAGCGACGGTTATTACGGTGATTAAAGAAGTCGTGAAATAACAGTTGCGGACGATATCGCTACAACTATATAATGGGAGCTATTTAAATCGTTGAAGTTGATTAAATCATATTCCTATGGTGAAGTTGAGCAACCTTGTCTATTATAGCTTTATTAAAGTTTAGATTATCGTGTTGATCAATCGTTCATTATCTTACCTTGTCTATGTAGCTTGGTATGTGTTTAGTTTTATCATTGTTACTTTTAAGGGGTTGGTGTTTTAGACGTCAAAATTATGAACTGAGTTAATCAAATTGGTCATTTAGGATTACCTTTTGTGAAATCCTGGAAATTAGGACAGAAAAAGTATGTGAACCGAGCTCCGGTGGAGACGTCCCCGAGGGTTTGGCCAGTGGAAATAGCGGCGGTGTAGTTGATATCAAAGAGATGGAGAAGAGGGAAGTACACTTGAAACCATTGAAGAAACGAGCGAGCTCAATAGCGACTCGATCTCGTTAACGAGAGAGGAAGATAAAAGTGTCGATTGAAATTCTAGTTCAGCCGATTCTCAGGCTCTATGATGAGAATGACAAAGCTGGAAGCACAGAATCGAAAGAACTCGTCGAAGAAACGAACGAAACCGATAAAAACACAAGCGCGTTAACCGAAGGAGGAGGCGAAGATGTCGATCGAAATTCTAGTATAGATGGAAATGACATGGTTAAAAGCATAGAATTAAAAGAACACATTGGAGAAACGAGCAAAATCAATGAAAATACAAGCTCATTAATGGAAGAAGAAGCCAAAGGTGTAGAATTAAAGAAAACGATACTAAAGAGGAGCAAAATGATAATAAAGAACGTGCAAAAGAGGATACCTTGGAGGACAAGAAACTAGCAAAAAATGCAAAATAAGATACCTTGGAGGACAGGAAACTAGCAAAAAAAAAATATAAAAGAAGATATTGCATATAGTACGTATATGTATAGATATCGAGAGCAACATTTGTATACGTCTTCCTATTCTCTTAGAAAAATAGTAATAATTTTTGAATTATTTAGTACAAATTTTAGTATTATTTTAACAATTTTTATCGTTCATGCCACTAAACTTCTGATTTTACCAATTATAACACTAAACTTTAATTTTTATTTCAATTATATCACTGAACCGTTAAATCGTTAACGACACAATGACGTGGGTGACGGCTGTCGATGTAGACACCTTACCAAAACGACATCGTTTTAACTCGATTGTTAACGATTTAACGATCCAATAGTATAATTGAAAAGAAATTCAAAGTTAAGTGTTATAATTGACAAAAACTAAAAGTTTAGTAATATAAATGATACAAAGTCTAAAGTTCGATGATATCTGGAGTTGTATACCCTTATTTAAAATATCATTATCATAGTATTTTGATTGTTATGAATAATGATATTCATTTGGATAAAATTTTTCTTAAATAAGATTAAGGGTTTGAATAGTGATATGATGAATAATAAAATAGTATAAAAGGATTATTATTATATCAAAACTATAAAATATGTTGTTAAGAGGAGTGTTGTTCCTCCTACAGATCTTAGGTTCGAACAGTTACGTCTGTAAGATGTCTGCATTGTCAATGATTAAAAAATCCTAAACAAATACTATCTAACAATTACCTCAAACTATTCAAAAAATTAAGGGTAAAGAACGCAAATGGCCCTTTGATTATAGGTTAATTCTTTATTAAGTCCATTGACTATTAAAAGTTACAAAATGATCTTTCAACTATATAGTGTTGCTTTGTTGAGTCCTTCGACTATTATAAGTTACAAAGTGGTCACCCGACTATTTATTATATTCAAATCCTTTTGTTAAAAATGGATGATATTATGAGCTAAACTCATTCTTTTGAGTCATTCAACTATTATAAGTTACAAAGTGGTCATCCAACTATTCATCATGTTTAGTAATTGAAAGTAGGGGGACTAAATGCATAATTAGACCCAGGAAAACACATAAACAAAGGACGTCGTTTTGTTTTTACGCTGCATTCTTTGTTTGCAGAAGAAAAACAATGAATTCATTGCAAATTTTTTTTCATTTCATTTCGATGACCAAAACCAAATCAAAGAGAAGAAAACAAAATTACCCAAAAAAATCAATGGCCAAAATCTTCAGCAAACCGTCAAAAGTAACGCCATTCTCACCAATGCCTCCGCCCGCCAATTTAATCATCGCTTTGATATCTTCATCGGAAGCCGGAAAACCTGCCCAATCCATGTAGCTCTTCAGATCCTCGTGGCTCAACCTCCCGTCTCCGTCTTTATCCATCACTTTAAAAACATCCTCCATCACTCCATAACCCGACGAACCCTTCTTATTGTGCCCTCCCAAAACGCGCTCGAATTCCTCGTACTCTACGAAGCCGTCCCTGTTCAAATCCGCCAGCGAAATCATCGTCCTTGATCACCTCCTCGTCGTCGTTGAAACCGTTGGAGAATCCGGCGTAAAATCTCCTCAAATCTTCCCTGCTGATCTTGCCATCGCGGTCGGCGTCGAGGATCTCGAATGCCGGTCTGAAATCCGTCGCTGGAATCCCGTTCTCCGGGCGATTCGAGTTTCTCTCCGACGGACACATTCTCTTTTGGTAATTTTTGTTTTCCTCTGGGGAGGGGGGGAATCCAATTAGGGTAAACAGCTATGGCTCTGAATACCTATTTATAGAAGGAGACGCGAGTGGGACCCACGTAAGATTCGTGACCTGCCACGCGAGTGGGACTTTCAAGTACCAAATTGAATTAAAAAAACAAGTGTACCACATTATAAAAATGTGAAAATTTAGGCTCAACATCATATATTAACACAAAAATATTAAAGAATAAAAAATAAATATAACATAGTTTTGAAATATATTAAAACTAGATGTTGTTATTTTATTTGCGTTATTTGAGACATGTATACATCAAATTATATGGTTTAGTTCCTAGATTGTTCCTTACATTTTAAAATGTTCTATTTGAGTCATCGAGTCAATTAGGTCATTCCGTAAAGTTGGGCTTTGGATGTTAGCTCGGATCTAACATTAACGTTAAGAACATTTAAAACACATGGATTTACTTATGAACATGCGTATCTATTTATGGATATTTTAGATCTAACGTGTTCGAAAGAGATATTTTCATTAAAACTTAGGCGAATTATTTCATTTTTTAATACACCAATATCCTAATTTTTTGTGTAATAAGTATATATGTACTTAAAAATTGAATATTTTAAGTATGTTTCATGCAATATTCATGTTAGCTTTTTAACATGCAAGCTGATGGCTAGGCTAGAAGCCTAGAATGGTCTCGACATTCTAAGGACTTGATTAAAATGTTTTAGAATTTAAGGTTAATTTAAAAAGTGATTCAAATTTCGGGAATGTTAATGCAATTAACCCTTTTATTTTTCTTAAGGTGTTGGATGATTTTTTTTTTTACGTAGTTTGAATGGTAGGTTGTAGACTTGACGTTATAGCTCACGTGGGGATTAATGGACTTGTCGTTATAGCTCACGTGGGGATTACTTGGTAGCCAAGTCATCAAATTTGCTGCAATTCCCTACTGAAAATGACTTTGACCGACTATATGATTCCTAATTTATTGGTACATATTTATTTGTGATTAATTTTCGTATGTAATATCTAAACTATCAATTTTGATCAATTTTAATATTTAAATTTTTAATTTTTTTAAAATTATTTTTAAAATTTAATTTTTATTTTATTTTAGTATCGTGTTCAAATGTTAACGTTAAATTTTGAAAAATATTAAAAGTTTCAATAATAAAATGAGTTAAAATTGATAGTTTATGTATTAAACGCGCTAAGTTATTTTTAAGTTGGGTACTACATGAAATAGAAACTAAATATTTCGTATGATTTGAAAAACTGAAAGTTTATATACTAAAACGGATAAAACTGAAAGTTTTGGTTACTAAATGATCAACACCACCTTCAAATCAATCTTCATACAATCAAACGGCTTGACCTTGGACTTAATTCCAATGTACTCTGCAACCCAGTAATCAAACCAAAGGCTTAGCATCATTAATCCGGCAGCCGGAAAATCTTGATTCAAATTCCGACACCGACGATCCTTGATGCCGGCTTCCATGGTACTGGAAAGTTATCACACCATGCTAACATCTATATTAGTACAAGGGAATGCGATCAAAGGAAACAACTACAACCATTCGATTAGATTATACACCGAGTTACAACGAATATGCGGTAAATGATGATGGTCCGACTCTTTAACATTTTACATTAGAATCCTCTCCCTATACCGGTATAGGACCGGTGCATCTGATATATCGGTGAACCAGGAAATATCATCCACTGGTAGCGGAGTTTCGTTTGTTTGAATCACAAAAACCAGACGAAGCAGTTATCTATTTGGCGATATGAACTTATCTGTGTTCTAGTGCACTTCGAATCGATACCGGAGGGTCTTGGAAAGCACCTCTGGATATAAGATCATGATTAAAGAATAACACAATAACAGTAATATCGTCGTGGAAATGACGTCGAACCTTCTTGTCGATCTTCCGAAGATCTGAATATCTCATTTCACGTTTTCTCGCTGCTTCTTGTAGGGCAGCCTTGACCAGCCTTTTAGCACTCCCCTGCATTTTGTAAAGGTACATGAGCAATGTATTATGAACCGTTGATGATGCGTAGTTCAACCGACTCAATAAAAGCATGGATTTCGGAAAAAAAAGACGAACTCGTAACTGAAGAGGAGCTAACAGGTTGTGCACCAAGGATCAAGAGAAAGCAATTTAGTATTAAAAAGAAAAGACTCGGAAAAGCGGATTGGTAAAGAATGATCAGAAAACCGACGTCCTACATCGGCACCAACCATGGTGCTCGAGTGCCAAATAGCAAACAGCACGAGAACACAATCCTTTAATGCAAGAAACTATGCCAATCTTACCGCGCGTGGATGACTATGGGCAATGGCCACAGCTTTTTCGTTGCTCAAGTGCTCCCATAGACCATCGGATGCAAATATAAGGAACGAATCATTCCGGTGGATATCGTGGGAAATAATTGTTGGATTGGCACTTAATATTGGCATGTCCATTGGTTCAGGAAGTCTGAATTTTGCATTAATCGGTTCCCTGTTATACCGCGCATGTTTCATATAAACATCGCCTATCGATTTAGAAACCTGCATCGCATGCATTCACAAAATCGAAGGCAAGTCCAATGATTAATGAACGGTGGACATAAATTATAATAAATCATGACAGTTGACAGTCCGAGCATGCCTTAATATGCTGAATTTTGAAAGGTAAGAAGAAGCAAGTGTTTATATATAACCTGAATAATGCCCTTCACTCTCCAAACTCCGTGCTTGAGAATAACGATTTGCGGATCATTCGGGTGTAAATCCTCAAGTTCATGTCTAATAGCCTCGATGTTTGCATTGTGTTCTGTTGACAATTGTATAGCAGCAATTTCTCCGGTGTTGCCAACTTTCTTGCCCAACACAACACGAGAATCACCCAGATTCGCAATGAAAAGTGTTTGCTGATAAATTACTCCTACCAGAGAGCATGTCCCAACCGTTGCCATATTTGGTCGAGTACTCCATAGCTCCGACACCAGGGCCGTAAACCCTTCTTCCGTTTGTTGAAAAGCTCTTTGAATGGTCTCAGCGGTCACAACTCCCCCCGATTCAGCCACTATTGCTGCATAAACACAAAGCCTAAGAATAACTCCTTTACAAGAAGAGACACCAAACAGAAAACACAACGAAGAAACCGCTAACAAAGGGATCATTTTTGGCATTAGAGGCAACTTGCAGTGGACAACAACACAATGCCGCTCTAAAATCTATATCTCGAAACCCGAAACCACGACACTAAACCGATAGCTAGTTATCTTCAAACATTCATACTTGCCATTAAAAGCATCCAAAGACCTTAGAATACAAGGCAACTTGCAGTGGACAACAACACAATGCCACACTAAAATCCATCAATCTCGAAAACTCGATTCGAAACTGCGATGCTCAATGGGTAGCTAGTTATCCTTAAGATCTCTCTCTCTCTCTCTCTCTCTCTATATATATATATATATATATATATATATATATATATATATCATTCATACTTGGCTCTAAAAACATCCAAGGACCCTTGGAATACAATGAAAAACTTCGAAAATTAAACAAAAACTTGGATGCATACCCGTATCGAATAATCGCACTCGAGAAAGTATTATACAGTTCAAATTTACTAAATCTAAATATCAAGTATCAACACATTGAAAAGCACAAACCCTGAAAATAACGAATCAAAATTTGAACATTGTTTCTGTCAATAGAGTTGGGGCAAGCTTTAGATCCACTGATTAAGTGACGAACCTCGAAAATTGCTGAACAAGTGATCGCAAACGTAACGTGCCGCCTCGGGTCCTCCGTGTCCGTCATAGATTCCGACGAAGGTGCCGAATTGGCCCGACTCGATCTGGCTCTGGTCCTCGAGCACCTGGTTCGCTTGGATCACGGCCATGGAAAATTCGCCGGACCCATATTTCCCTATATCACGAAACCAAAGAAACCCGTCTCTAACTTCCCTTGAGCCACCGCTACTTCCGCCGCCGCCGCCGCCGAGAACGCCGTTTGTTTCGTGGTTTTCTACTTCATTCCCAAACGGGCTCCAGCAAACCGAGAACAGATTCATTAATCCCTGGAGCATCAGACATCTCTCATCAAAAACAAAAACCCAATCCCCCCTCTCAAAATCCTACATCCACCGTATATTCCCCATTTTTTTCACAGTATAATTTGATCTGAGCTTAAAAAAAACAAATCCAAAATTCCCAAGTCCCTAAAACCGATGAATCAAAGAATGGTATGATGATTGATTATGATTAAAATTAAAAAAAAAGCACGTGGAAAATAAGAATAAAAAAAAACCCAAAGATCTCGTAAGTTACAAGAAGGTGAAAGGTGGTGGTGGTGGGTGTTTGACGGCGGAGGTGTCGGTGGACTTGGGTGGATTTTTATTCCTCTTCGAAGAGATGGGGTGTTATCTTTTCAAGCCTTCTTTATCTCCGTTCTTCGTGCTATGGTGAGAGCTTCCTCAACCTTAATCTGGTGATGAATTAATTAGTAATTAAAGATTATGAGTGTTTGGACCTTGGACTTGTGTTATGAAGAAAAACAAACAAACAAAGCTTGATTATTAAGTTCAAAGCTTTCACTTTGATCTCATAATTTTAACAATGTCTGTGCTCCAATTAGTAAATCTCATTTTCAATAGGTTTAATGATGTTTTTGGTGTTTAATTTTTTTAAAAAAAAATTGTTTATTTATTTAATTTTCTCAATTAAATAATTTATTTTTGGTCTTTCAAAATTATTTATCTAAATAAATCCTTTTCATATAATGATTGTTATTTAAAATTATCATTATTAGATGCTCATATTTTTTGTAATCGGAGATCTAAAACGCGGCTCTCATTGTTGTTCAACAAATACATATATTTGAGCCAATTATTTAGTGTACTAATTATAGATTTAAAATTTTATTATGTATCTTAGTATCTATTTAGTTGTCTTCCATTATCACATATTTTTAATAAATAATATGATGAATTAGGATGTTAATTTTTTTTAAATAAAATTTAGAATTCAAATCATCGGGTTAACCAATATCCAGTTGGCCTAGTGGAATAAGACACTAGATCCCTTAAACAATATTAGGGGTATGATCATGGTGATTGTGACTGTAGCAAAATGATTTGGGAGAGTCGCTCTTGCCTCTACAGTACTCGATCCGAATTAACCGATCAATAGATCAGATACCGGTGATTATACAAAAAAAAATCGGGTTAGAATAATTAGTTCATATTAATTAATCAATAGGTCAAATATATGTAATATAATTACTATTTTCTCTCATATATGAGTATAAATCTAGTCTGGTCAATTTATTAGTTTAGTAGAACCCAATCTAAGTATTATATCATTTCATTTGTCATTCGATCCGACACGAGTTAAGAGAGATTCTACTAACTTAAACCCGACATAATTTAAAATAAACTCGCATATGATCTGACCTGACCTAACACAAATATTTATCATTTATATAAATAAAATAAATATTTAATTGAAAAATGATATAGAGAGAGTGATAATCATCTCTAAATATTTAAAGAATAATTATAGTGTTATCTCATATTTGGTTAAATATTTTTTAATTTAAATTTGAGTCTAACCAAACTCGGGCATACGATTTAAAAAATAGATTTTACTCATTTTTTTAAAATAAATTTGATCCTATAAGATCAGGTCGGATCTAAATCCATTCAGTTCATATCAAATGTATAAAATAGTCACTCGACTATTTGAGTCTCAACTATTAAAAGTTACAAAATGATATCTGACTATATGACATTTGTTTTTTTGAGTCACTCGACTATTAAAATTTATAAAATAGTCACTCACTATTCATATGTTTCAAACTCGTCATTTTCTATTAAAATATTGGCGGCCTTTTGAACTCGACGTTAAAATATTGACCGAGATATGATAAAATCTTATCACATAATCATTTTGCGTTTTATTTTATAGATGACTCTCCGTTCACATTATATTGTATAGTCATTGCTTGAAATATTATGTTGTCGAGTCATTGCTTGAAAGCAATGACGAATTTAGTAAATATCATTAAAATATAATTTTATCACATCACAATTAGCAGGTTAACGTCTAGCTCAGACAATCGTCAATTTTTTAACAAAAAAATGAGTTATAATATATGAATAGTCAAGTGATCATTTTGTAAATTTCAATAGTCGAGAGACTTAAAAAAGTAACGCCTTATAATCGCAAATCATCTTATAACTTTTAATAATAAAGAAATTCAAAAAACAAACATTGTTTTATAGTCAAATGATATTTGTATACTCTAGCCTACATTATATAATATAAGAATATAAATGACAATTTAACTCGAAATCGGTCGATTTTGACCTGATCTGGGGATAATATTGTAATTTATTCAAATAAAATTATAGATAATTATTATAATATCCAATCTCTCTATTATTTTTTAATTAAATACATATTTTATATCGCAATGAGTTAGATCATATCGAATTTGTACTCTAAAAATTTGGGTCGCGTCATAATTAGATAAATGATATATATATATATATATATTGAGTCGAGTTAAATCGATTGAAGATATATTTTTTTCAATCGGATAAAATTCAAATAATGATACATATTTTCAAATCAAATCCGATCTATTGTCATCTAATATATGATCTATTGTCATCTAATATATGAACGTGCGTGTTACGTGTTTAGAATTAGAATACTAAACGCGTGTATACGATAACATATCTAATTGCCCTATAAACGCGTCGGAATATTTCGGGAAATTCAATTAGAATAGAAACGCGGATTCAATAATATATATTAGTTTAGTTAAGAGAATATTTCGGGAATTGTGGATGAACTTTTATCCTAATTGATGGATAACACTACATTCGTGTAGTTAAAATTATTATTTATTGGTTTCTAAAATAAAATATTTTATATTTAGATCAAAATTATTTTAAAAAATAAATCACTGCTAATTATTTAAAGGTAAAATGGTAATTTTGTCTCTATAGTAGACTCAATTTATCACTTTATCCCGTATAATTATTTTTGTATCAATTTAACTCTCAGAGTTGCTCATTATTCTATATCATGCCCTAATTTTAAACCCTAAACTATAATCATATGACATGTAAACCCTAAACTCTAACCTAGAACTTATAATTTATAATTTAAGGTTTTAAGTTAAGGATTAAGGTATAAAATGATGCAATTAAATAATTTTGAGGGTTATAAGTTAGGGTTAGGGTATAAATGATGCAATTAAACAATTTTAAGGATAAAATTGATGCGAAAATACGATAAGGATATAAATGATAAATTAACTCTACTATAGAGGCAAAAGTGACCCTTAAAGCTTATTTAAAACAATGTTTATAAGGTCAGAATTCGATTTTTGAACATAGTTTAAAAAATCCAACATTTTATTTTGTTTAAATTAAATTAATTGATTATAAATCAAAATCATACGTAGACATCTTTCGATTGCACAATATCCTCACAATGCTCAATTATTGAGTTTCAAGCTGACATACCTTTGAATATTATAAACAGAAATAGTTACTGATACACGAGTTGAGTTTTAAAGGTAACAAAATGAAAACAATGTAAATAGTAAATATCAAGTAGCAGTCTAGGACCTAGTCTGAGCTCGTAGGTTTACCATACGTAACTTGTAAAATTGTTGTTGTTTTTTTACCTAAACAATCAAGGCAACTTGTTGGGGTTTTAATGCAGTTTAAGGCATAGTTTGAAGTTAGGATGAACTTTGAAGTGGTGGATGCTACTTTGGGTAAACTTTCATGCATGCAAAAACGCATCATAAGAAAGAATTAAAGAAGTTATTGTTAGAGCTTGTAATTTAATTTGATTCGAAATAGTATTGAGAATCTGTGGGTCGCAGGACGTTAGGGTTCTTATCTATAAGTCTCACTTCAATTGGATTCTGAAGAAGTTGATACAACTTAGGGATGAAGTCGTGAACTTGTTTGTTGGCAGTATTAATTGGTAGCTGATTGACAGTAGGTGGATTTGGGATAGAACAAAGGATAGGAGGGATAAGATGAAGTGACATAAACTCATATGGTTCCTTCTCATGTTCCTAAGCTTTGAATTATTGTTTCGATGGTTCTCTTGGATAGATTGTCTACTAAGGATAGATTTGAGCGGTTTAGTATTCTTACGACGGGTTATGTGATCTTTGTGGAGTTGAAGGGGAGACAAGAACCACATTTTGTTCTTATTCTTGTGGTGTCTGAGATAGGGTCTTGTTATCTCGTGAAGATGATTTATTTTTGATCGAAATGAATCTACGTGGTATGTCTCATTGTTCTTATTCTTAAACTTGCTTAGGAGGATTCTCATTTAATTAATGCAATTGTGAATTGTGTATAATTCTTGTATAAATAATAACGATAGAGTGAATAGGAAATAAAAGAAAGAACGTTTGATAGTACAATGATATTGTATAAAATATTATAAACTCGAATAATACATCAAATATAAATCTAAAATAGATATTAGCAAGTGATTCAAGCTTAGTAACACAAAGTAATCTGTTTAAAACCTAGAAATTTTGTAACATCGCTAGGAAATAATAAGGCAAACATAACCTAAGCTGTAATTGTTTTCCAGAACGTTTTCAATTTACCAAGAATGCCACTGCTGGCCGGCCTTTCAGTTTCAGGAACGATAATCTTTTCCGGCAAGTCCGTCAACAAAGCTCCGACGCCATTAAAGGCTTTGTAAAGCTGTGGGTAAAGCTCAACAATGGCGTCACTGAATTTCTTCGAAACCTTGATCTTCTTCGTCGAACAAACCGGCACGTGATCACCTTCGACGTCGCCGTTAAAGAACCCGACGCGAGCTCGACCCTCTACGTAATCAACACAAGCTCTTAAGATAACCCGCCCATTGACACGGAAATGCCAGGCGATGAATGACTCGAAATTCTTCGCCGGCCTCCGCAACAAACACAGCATCGTTTTGCAAGACAAAACGAAGACATCGGCGTTGTAAGATTGCCAGGACCAAGCCGGTTTAATCCCCGGCTCGTTGAAGTAGGGCTTTTCGTTGAGTACCAGTCCTTGAAGCGAGAGCAAAACCTGGAGGACCGTCGAGATTTTAGGACTCCACCGCTCCGTTTCTTTGCCGTCCCAAGTGTTCAACAAGCTCAAACAAACGTACCCGGATTCATACAGATTAGGGTTCAGCCTGAACCCGAAAGATCGATAGGTCACCTTGGGTGGATAGCGGGGGTAATCATGAGGGAACTTGAGATCGAAGACGAAGATCCCGTTGTGATACGGAGTGTTCCGAGCGCCGATGATGGCGGCTCGCAACAGATCGATCCGCCCTTCGTAAACCCTAACGAAGATCGATTCCGGGAGATTATTCTGCAGGATTCCCCACTCTCTCGTGATTCTCTTCACGGTGGTCTTATCGTAGTCGATGCACTTCTTCTTCTGTTTCGACTCGGATCGGAGGTAATAGTAGTGGTCGGAGAAATCGGTAACGCAGTCGAATCGCTTCAACTTTTTAGAACGAACTAGCTCTTTCCCTGCAGTTTTAATGGATCAAAAACAAAATATATGATGAACAACATGAACATATATATATATAGAGAGAGAGAGAGAGAGAGAATTTTACTTGAAGAGGCCATTTGTTGAAAGATAGCTAAAGAGACTGCGTAGAGAGCAATGAAACCTTGAATGAACGGAAACAAGTGAGATATAATTAAGAGTGTGACTATATATACTATTCATTAAAAGTTTGATCGAGTTTAGTGTTATAAGTCTATTAGGACACTAATTCAATTGAAAATTATAAACATATTCTTACTTTAAATTATATAAACATGAGGTCTAATAACATATTCTTACTTCAAATTATAAATATTAAATTTTTTAAGTTGGGTTTAACTAAGTAGATTTACACAATATTTATAGAATTTCTCATAAGAGAATAAATTCGACATTAATCAATTAATACCGCATCCTATGGAAGCTGCTCTCAACCTGGTGTTGGGGGCAGCCTACTATCCTACCTCTCCTTTACCCCCTTACATATGAGAATAAGGGTCAACTAATTTTAAAAGATATAAAATATTAATATTCAAACTAAAAAAAATCATATAATATCCTTTTAATTCATAATATTAAAAAATATATGTCACATTTAAAGAAAATATTTAATTCATAGGAGTAAAATATCCGCAGTCCAAGAAGGACCTGATCGGTCTTGACATTCGTATCGTCCATGTCATGCGGGTGTGCCCCAATTTTGATGGATTCAGTGGGTTAGTGCATATGAAACATTCTCATGCTTGTTATTAGGATGTGCATGGGTTGGGACGAGTCGGATTTTTGGTTCATCTGACTCAATTAAAAAATTATATATCCCCACTTGACTCAAAATCAACTTATTTTTTTGAGATAAAATTCGAACCTGGCCCAAAATAATATGTTTATTAAAAATTATTTTTTTATTAAATAAATATAAGTATTTAATTGAAAGAAATAATATATAGATAAATATTATTATAATTATCCCTAAATATCTAAGGTAAAATTATAATTTTTCGGGTCGGGTAGGATATTTTTTTATCATAAATCTAAACTCGACCTGACCCAAACATAATCTCTAAAAAACCGACTCGTCCCAACTTTAATATGATTAAAAAAAATCTAACTCGATCGGGTCAGATCTTGTTAGAACCTGTCGGGTTCAAGTCCCATCCCCATCCCTTCTTAACTAATGTGGGATATGGATTTTCCCATTTTCCTTACACAATATAATTCACATGTACCCTAAAGCATCAATTTCTCATTCATCATTCAATCGTTTTAAGCATATGAGATACAGTTGTAAAGATCTCATGCAGTAGAATATGAATTAGTAAGTTCATTATTCGAATATCCGCCTTTACCCTTAGAAACTATGTCTCAAAGTTTTCGATTTATCACAATTTTTTCAAAATATCTCTACTTTCTTTCCTTTTACAAGTTGATTAAAATTAGAAAATTTAATTTTTTTTATGTAAGTTCCTTTATAACAGAAGATTTGTCCCTACAAATAAGTATTGGAGATTAAGATTTAATTATAAGTTGACTGAATTGCGTTTATTAAATATATAAAACATTTAATTAAAATTAAAAGTAAAGTTACATAGCTAAACAATTCCAATCAACATCAGTTAATCATCGAGATCAAGATGAACAGCAAGAGAATACAGTAACTGTCGGATGTTCATCGGCGACATGAACTTCAGGCCACCGTCCATCAAGTGCCTCGCTACGATCACATTGCTGGTTTCCGTCAGATGGAATGCATCCCAAAACACGTACTCGGTCCGATTCGAACAAATTTCCGACAACGAACAACAGGGGAGTAGACCTCCATGAACTCCGGCAGTGTGACAACATGCAAGGTTTACATTTTCAAACCCTACGTAAAACAAAAATAACACGTGCACCTGTATCATCAATAATTCCAATAAATTTAAATAAAGGGATCAACTTTTTAATTCTCGTGAAATAAACAAACCGTAATGCTTGTATCTATGAAGAATATCTTTGAGCATCGCATGAATATTGGCGTAAACAAAGATCGAACCGTCGAGATCGGTTGTAAGATCCTTAAGCAGTCTCTTCAATCTCTTGTTGTATGAGTTGACAACTCCGTTGAACGTAGGGATGCAACCCTTAACATTAGGGCTCTTGTCCCTCGCAAAAGGGATGCACCCAAATCTTGGAATATTTGTCACTATGATCTTTCTTGCTTCCAAATAATAAAGCCTCTGCATATTTTTTTTTTTCAAAATAAAAATTAAATATTATAAGTGCCGAAGTAGGTATAATCATAGGTCAGATTTAGGTATAACAGTCCTTCACCCATCATCCAATTTGAGTATAAATGTATAATATTCTTTCACCGGTCATTTGATTCAATTCGATATAAATATATATAGGAAAAAATCATTTTTATTAGTGAAAAAGAAAGACTTAACTGAAGAAATATAGAGAATGTAATGTTGTAGCAATTATCCCTAGATATATAAAGGTCAATTATACTATTATTATGCGGTAAGGTAGAGTACTTTTAACCTTAACACTTGACTCCGACGATATCTTAACATTAAAAAAATTCAACCTAACTTGAATCTAAGATTTTTTTTAAAAAAACCCGATTCTATAGAATTGGATTAGAACTAGTCAAATTCAGGTCAAATGTCCATTCTAACATGAAGATGAGGGACAAAACTAGAATTTTTCATTAAAAATACTTAAAATCAAGGGTAAATTACGCATTTAGTACCTAAACTATTAGTTTTGGTCTATTTTAGTACCTACACTTCAATTTTTTCAAAGTCATACCCAACGTTTATTTTTTGTTTCATATTAATACCTATCATTAAAAAAAATTATAAGATAAATTAAATCGACATGAGATGAATTCGAGATCTTAACTCTGAGTTGGGATTCGAATCTCGAACTCATAATGTTCAAATACCATCCTCGAGCCAATGCATTCTTCAAGGGAATAATCTCTTGTCCCAAAAGGAAATCATTCGAACCACTAACGACGATGAACAATGCCTGATGATTTAGTAGCCTCTTAGCCTTACGCCTGCCGATCGTCGAGACAATCGTCGCCTTGGTTTCCTCGAAGTTACTGATCTGTTCATCTAAGCTGATGCGACCACCCTGTAAAGAAAATCATCGTCGTCGAAATCGATTTCGTGTGTAGATGTTATGGTTGTTTTTGAGAAGCAAATGTTACCCAGATTAAGCCGGTGACGTTCAAAATACCAGAACCAGAAGAAGCGTAATTGACACCTTTTAGAATCACGTCGATTGGGGTATTTGGAGCCAAGTACGGTGGTCTGAAATCTTTGGCACCCAAGCCCTGTTCTGCCACAAACAAAGTTCATGCAACAATGTTCTCAATCCTGGTTCTTTCGTACGACAAAAATTCGTAAATTCCAACAATCAACTGTGAGATATTGTTCGTTTTGACTCCAAAATCGATGACTTTGTCTCCTAAATGTAGTTATAAGTATATGTATATATTAGATTAAGGCCTAACAATCGAGTTAATCGAATTGGTTGTGATTATTACTATAAACATCTTTATATTAGGTTTGGACCTATCAATTGAGTTGTGTGTTAGTCTGATGTCTTAGATATTATAGTCGTTTGAGATTTTGATATCATATTTTATCATATGTCATATATTAGATTAACATTCGGCTCAAATCGTCATCAATTTTTTAATGGAAAATGACGAGTTTAGAACATAATGAATAAGTCGGGTGGCTATTTTGTAACTTTTAATAGTCGATGGACTCAACAGAATAACATCATATAGTTGATGGATCATTTTATAACTTTCAATAATTGAGGGGCTCAATAAACTAATATCCTATAATTGGAGGACTATTTTAAATATATATGAATTTTGGGATCATTTATCATTTTTGGGTTAGCGGTACTACTAAATATCAATAGTTGTCGAGTATTGGTCAAATCAAGTTAAGACTCGATTTTTTTTTTGTTATCCTTTTAGGTTCTCAAATTTATTAACTAATTCAGATCGATTCACGTGGTACACCTGACTTTGGTGAGTGTATCTCTTAACAGAGGTTTTTTACATATATAAGGACTCGAAACTTGAGATATTACTTAAGCGATATCAAGTTGCTTATCACTTGAACTAACCCCTATTTGACATTGAATGTTCAAACACCGATGTAGATGTTGGTGTTCGAATTTGAAATTTTTAGAGACAACAATCATCCCTTTAACCATTGAGTTATGCTTAATTCGTGCGATTAACATTTTTTTTTAATTTCAAATTTAATCTTTTTAGTTGAATGTATATGTATAAAAATATCTATTTATGATCGAATCAAATTAGAATTTTTAAGTTAATTGAATTAAAAACCTTTTAAAATCAAATCAAATATATTAATTCATTTTATCATTACACCATAGATTTGACCAAATATTATTTTATGATTTCGGTTTCATATAGCATAAACAAAACATGACCTAAAATGCACTCGTTACTGAAGGTAATAGAAGAAGAAGAAGAAGAAGAAGAACTTGCCTATGATATCAATTACTGTTCTACCGTTAGTGAATCTCCCGGACCCGGAGGGGCAGCTGTTGCAAAAGTCGATTCCGTTCGGAAACGTTGCTTTCGCTAACGTCTTGATGTAATTGTTGTTCCCGGCGTCGACCATGGAATCCCCGAACACGAAGATCGCGGGGATTTTCTTGGCCGACACGACGTCGAATAACAAGAGGATTACGGGTGCCGAAATTCGAGATTTTACTTGGCAGACGAAGAACATGTTCCATGTATGATCCATTTTAATGCCGGATTAGTCATGAAGGATCAATGTTTAATGTAAGACAGAACCTGAAAGAGGCACTGTTTCATTCTGGTTGACCCAACCGGCTATTGTAGCTGCACCTACTCAACTCATAAAGAGTGCGCCTTGCATGATACCAAAAAAAATCACTAAAAAATATAATATAATTTGATTAATTAATTTATTAACATATATATTTTTAACGATGGTAACTGGAATTCATTAATAATAGAAGAAATAAAATTATAACGCATCAAAATATAGAGAAAAATATAGAGACAATAGTCACAAAATACTCTTATAAAAATAAAATATTAAACCTAAAGATACGAAGAAAAATAAAACTTTCTATTGAGAATGACGACCAACATCAAAACCCAATAACCTTCGTAAAAACTCTTTGTCAATGTCGAATGAGACGCTTTACGAAGTGACAAATGAGTGGTGAGAAAACCAAACAATCTGACAGACTGTTTCGCTACATAATTCTGATTATATTAACAAACGGTCTTTTACTAGAAAAGGGAATTTGACTATACGTGACACCGACAAACCAATAAGAGAATAAATGTCGTGATGTTTTTTTGTACGAAAACCAAAACGACCGCAAAAGTATGAAAAAAAAACATACCAATAACATCAAGTATAAAGCATGAACAAAAATTATATTGTTTCCAAATTTCTAAAAATCACATTGGATTTAACATATGATTACAGATCGAATATTTACTATGATTAATTGTAGTAGGGATAAAAGTATTTGTAATATGGGAGGAGTTATAATCCCTCTCAATTTTTGGATTTAATCATTTTTAGAATTCTTTTAATTTTGAAATTAAACAAATTAAATCATACTTTTTATTTTTCATATTTAATTATTTTGTAGGTCCTCTTAATTGAATTTATTCAATTATATGTTATATGATGGAGTTACAATAATTGTATGCGCTTATCATCTTGGTGCAACAGATGGTGAATAGATCTTAATAATAAAGAGAGGGAAATACATATTTTGCATAGAAATTTGGCAGCTAAGCCTAAGAAGCATTTTGCAGCTTTGTTTTTCATTATGATTTTGCATGATAATTACTGATAATACTATAAAATGCATTTGCGTTCTTAGAATTGCACCACCTCATGAGGGATTTGCATGGTTTTTGCCACCATACCATGCGGGTTTTGGGATTAGAATCCTCCCCCAATTCCTCCGCCAGCGCCGCCTCCGAAACCACCACCTGCACCGCCTCCGGCTCCTCCACCAGCACCACCTCCGAAACCTCCGCCTTCTCCACCGCCAGCTCCACCTCCTAAACCGCCACCAAGACCTCCTCCTGCTCCGCCTCCCAGACCGCCACCAAGACCTCCTCCAGCGCCACCACCGGCTCCACCACCACCACCAAGTCCCCCTCCACCTCCTAAACCAGCGCCACCGCCGAGCCCTCCACCAGCTCCACCTCCTACACCAGCACCACCACCCAAACCACCACCGAAATTATCCTTCTCAAACCTCCGGCACTGAGCTATCCCTATAGCAAACACAAACATCAATGCAAACACTCCAAATCTTTTGGAAATCACTCTCCCTTTCCCTGCCATTTTCCTTGAATGTAAACACTCCCAACTCTTGATTTCTATCAACTTTGAGCATGAAGATACACAGCGAGCAACCTCATATATATATACACACACACTCACAAAGCTCGAAATGAATCATAAATGCATGCAGCTAGTCAGTTGAAGATCTTAGAATCTAACTTTGAAGGAAAAAAATAAAACCCTAATAACTAAGGTGGACGGTGACATTGTATTTAATGTAGTATCGTCTTCTCAACTACTACTACTCCTACTCCGTAGCCTACAGCTAGCTAATCCATAATGCTTGCCAGAGCTGCTCCAACACTTTCAGAAATCCCCACAGCCGATCGTATTGCTTGTCGTAATTCATAATAAACACATTAATTACAAAGAGCATAAATGTATGGATATTTTATTTATTCTAAACTTGGCTATATATACAAAAGTACTTTATCAATATCTCTATAAAATTAATCTTTATAATAAGGGACGGGCGTATGATTTATGTTAGGGACGAAATTGAACTGTTAAAATTTCATGGGATGAACTTAAACTTATAAGATTCCGGGAGACGAAAATAGATTTTCAATAAAAAATACATCGAAAAATCTAAAATATATGATAATTTTAAATTTTCACGGGACGACCGCCTCCACCCACCCCTCGGTCCATCTATGTTTGTAATATAAACCCTTACAAACACTACAAAAGGATTTACAAAAATTATCTTTGCAAGGTAAATTTTTTTTTATTAATTTGAGATAAGTATAGGGAGTATTTATCCAAATAAAACTTTTAACTTTTCGACTTTGGACGTTTATACCCGTGCCCCTAGCATCTATGGTAAACTTTAAATGTTATAAATACTACAAAATAATTACATATATACCAAACAATTCTCTCATAATTTCAGTGACACATCCAAAAATATTTCCTAAGTTGGACACACATATATTAATAACATAAATATTTCATTTGGAGTCTGCACAAATAAAATTTTAAGGTAAACTCTATTTACTAATGAACAACTATCCCTAAAAAAAACTCAGATTTCAAGATAAGTATGTGCCCACCCTTAAAATACCATTGCATAATTATAAAGATTAAACCATATTTTATATTTATATGATCAAGTATTTTATCACCAAAGAAACATACTTTTATAAGTGTTTCTTTATTTTTTTAAAATAATTATTAAATAAAATTCAATCATTAAAATTATAATAAAATTGAATTTACTTAATAATTAAATTTTTGAATCAGTACTTAATAGAAATATATTTAATTTATAAATGAAATAAGATACAAAAAATAGATATGTTGTTTAGATATCTTGAGTTGGTCGTAAATTTCCTCCATTGTTCAATGGTATTCGCCCACGAGCATGATATGGGTCCCGATGAACATGTAAATGTACGAAGGTGATGATGCCTAGTATTAATTAAGGAAAGACTTGAACGATTTTCTTTCCTCTTGCAGCTTTTAATGTTTGGTATATGAGAAAGTAGAAGTAAACTCACCCCATGTGGTATGTCTTTAATTCTCATTGAATTTCAACATATAACGCGTTTTCTCAACCGATATAACACGACTTAGGTTGGTGTTTGTGGCTTAAATTATATTTGGTTCGCTAATAAGGTTGGTTCAAGTGATAAACAGTTTGATATTGTTTAATTAAAATTTCAGGTTCGAGTCTTTGTGTATATAGAAAATCTCTGTTGGGAGATTCATCCACCAAAACTAGGTGTACGACTCGGGTCAGTCCTGATTAATCATGATCAAACCTTGAAACTGGAGGGCAACAAATATATATATATATGGTTCGATTCGAAAAATTTATGGTGTAATTTGTTTGGTAGTCATTTTAACTTGTTCTTTTATTTAAGCCTTTTAACTTAACATTTCGCTTTGGGACAAAAAAGTTTTTCTATGAATAAAATCGTTAGTTAAGATACGATTAATGCTCTTATTATGTTTTTTTGATGCAGAATGGGGACTTTTATGATTCTTTATTTTTGATTTTTTATACTAGTTGATTAGGGGTGCTGGTTTATTTGTTTGTTTGTAAAGTTGTATAGGTGGTTGCTTTTGGATAAATATTTTTTCATTTATCCAAAAAAAACTCTGAAAATAGAGTTTTTTTTTTACTTAAAATAAAACGTTAAGGGTCAAAATGCTTTAAAAAAATAAGGATCAAAGTGATAATTACATCATACATTAGGAGTTTTTGCCCTAAAATAAAACATTGGAGGCCAAAATGCTAAAAAAATAGAGACCATAATGATCATTTTGATAAACATCAGGACTAATATTAACATTATGTGTTTTTTAAAAGCTTAATAATATATGGTCAAACTAGGTCAAAACTCATCTGGTTCAGTTCAAATGTACTCTTACGAATATTTTTTGAATTAATTACTATATGCTTTATTGACCAACTAATCCAAATTAATTACTCATCTAGGGTTGAAAGTTTTTAACAAACTATGCAGTGATTTTGTTTCTAAGTTTATTTGGGTTGTTTGTTGTGCAGGGTTCAAGTGCAGGGGTTATGGTCCTATGTGTTTTCCTTCCTTTTTGCATGATAGAATGAACTCTTTTCCTCCACGTAGGTCTAGAGAGATTTTTAACGAGACATTCTAATTGTGTCTATAATATGAATAAAAATTCTATTGTTGAGAGAAAAAAATATAGTTATTGGTTACTCCTTACTAATATTTTGATACTATTATTTTGAGTATTTATTCTTTGAAGTAAAAAGTTTGGAAAATGAGTTACGAAAAATTAGACCGTAAGTCATTTTTCAGAAAATACAAAGATAATTTAGTCTTTTCACTCGTTTTAAAAGTTTAGAGATCAAAATGAAACCCATACAAAGTACAAGGACCTGTACAGTACTTTCACCTTGTCGACATTCATTTTCGTCCGAGACTATATATTATTATTATTATATTACAACTATTATTTCATATTATTATTATTATTATTATTATTACAAATATTACAAAATTGAAGCCCGTTTTCAATTTCAACCCAAGTCATGCCTAAAACCGATTCAGGCCCAAAAATAGAACCCACCAGGCCCAAGACCCGTTTAGGTGTTTTTTGCTAGGGTTTCTACACAATTCCAGCCGCCATCATCTACAACCGTTAGATCTGGAGAGATCCAACGACCCAGATGCATCCAGCAGAAACCCTAGGGTAATTTCGGCCGCCGCCTCCAAATGGTCCACTCCGACGTTGCCACGCCGCCGCCGCCTCCAACAGAAGGATCTAGAAGAAACGATGATAGTCGCACACTTCATCAGCTATATGGTGAGTCACCATTGTAGATCCGGTGACTCACCGAACGAACAGTATTTTGAGGGCTATAAAAAGCCTTGATTTCCCTACAAAAAAAGGAACACAACGGGAAAAAGGAGAAGAACGGGAAGAGAGCAAGCAACACCAACGAGCAGCAAACAAACCAAAAGGAGAAGAAAGGAGAGGAGATCTTACCTTCATCAAAGCCTAAACGTCGTCGAAAAAGTTGTTTTACCAAAGGTAAAATCTTAGATATAGGTCGTTTTGAAGTTTTTTAGGAAAAAAGGAGGGTGGTTTCGGGTTTAGGGTGAGCAGATCTACTATTTGAGCTATTTTTATTTTTTTCGACCACCATGAATAGTGACCGGCGGTGAATAATAACCAGAATAGTGACGAGAATAGTGACGTGAAATAGTGCCTGACGATGGCCCGGCAGTGGTCGGACGATGGCCGGATTTCTTCCGGGGAGGGTTTTAGAGAGAAGGAAGAGAGAGTTCTCTCTTTAGAGAGAGAACAAAAATGAAAAAAATGAAGAGATGAAGGCCATTTTTTGCCATTTAAGGGTATTTATGCCCTCACCAAAACTACGTAACCGACTCTCGAACTCAAAATTTGGTAACGCAAACTACAAGTTTGTCGTTTTTATTAAAATTAATATTTTATTTAAATGATAAATTTATTTTTGGGTGCCCAATCACACATTAATCAAAGATTGGTAGCGACTCTGCGAATCACGTTTTTATCACAAATTTATCACACTAAAATCATTTTCGAAGCGGGACCACCCTTTTCCCCATCGGGTAAAAGACCGTTTCGACACACCTTTAACGTCAAGACTGCTGGGAGTCCCAGCCCATTACAACAAGCCTTTTAGAAACGCAGGACTTTATGTTACCTATCCAAGCCCATTCCGAGTTTTTTTTTTGTCGATTGAGCTCACGAAACGCTAAAGTACACTTGACTGTACCTAAACACTTCTCTCCCGCCAAAAACATGAAAACTACGAGAAAATAATCTCTCAAGATTCACTCCCCAAAACAAAGTAACAAAAATCCGTTCTCCGCCGTCGTTGAGTCTATCTAGCTTCTGTAGAACCTCTCCGCTCTAATGGAACTTTGCTAATAGAAATCGATGATGATCGAAAAGGAGATGGTGAAGAAGAAGAAGATCCGTTTCTCGCATTTATCGAGTACGCCAGGTCGGTCATATCTCCTGAAGAAGATGAGGATCCTAGTGGAAATAAAGACGGTTACACTGAAGCTGGATGGGGCTGGATCGCGTCTCGGATCCTCAAAACTTGTATTGCTTACTCGAGTGGTGTTACTGCTGATATTTTGCACGCCGATCTCTCTCAGGTACCACGCTTGCTGCACGGTTTTTATGATTTGCTTCGTTATGACGAACTATGGTCTAGATTGATCGATTGGAGTTTGTAGTATATATTCTCTTTTGTTTAATTTGATATTTCGGCTTAAATTTAGTGATCTATATTTAGCCACTTTTAGTCATTTTAGTTGATTATCACATTAAAGAGACGGAATCGGAGAGAAAGAATCGGAATCTTAGAATTTCACTGTTTATTTTTTATTAAAATGTCTAGATTAACCGACTGGAGTTCATAGACTCAGTTCTCTTTTGTTTACTTTGATATTTCCGGTTAATTTTATCTATCTATTTTGAGCTGCTTTTGGTTATTTTAGTTTATTATCACATTAAAG